CCCCTCCCGCGGGCGTTAGCGCCAGCAGCGTCTCTCTGTTGCCCTCGATGACACTTTTGCTTTCTGCCCCTCCCCCTTCTCTGTTACTTCGCCCTCGTTCCACCCGTCTATATACGTTTATACTGCCGTTGGTTTTTATGGCGGTGTACGAGACTGGCGTATACTGGTCTGTTACTTACCCACGGCGTGGTGCCGACTGGTGAGGCGTGTCGGGGCGGGACTGGGCGGGGTGGAGCGGGGCGTACAAAGCGCCTGTTGTGTCATTGTGTGCACGCATATACGTGCGGCGCCGTGCGTGAGCGCGAAGAGCCAGTGACAGACGGCAGGCTATGGCGCTGCCTTTAGCTCAGGTGAAACAGAGACGCGGGGAGAGAGAGAGATGGGGACAGAAGTTACGAAGATGGAAAGAGTAAACGCGTGACAGTGGAAATAATTCGGGTGCGAAACGTCGAGAAAGAAGACGTTGCTCTCAGCTTTGTGTATTGGTACGGGCAGGAAGGAATGCGTTTGGCGCTTGAACAGACGGGGACAGGACCGCTCTGTCCTCCAGTTTCTAGGACAGTGCATTCGCTCGCAGTTCCCAACAGGTACGCCCCTGCCCTCTGCGCCGGGCGCGGCCGTGTGTCGAACAAAGGAGGCCATGCGCCCCGGTTTGCAGACTGCCTGGCTGAGCTGCCCCAGCCCCACCAGCTTAGCCCAGCCCGGCGGCTGCCCGCCGCGTCAGCCGCGGGGGGCAAACTCCACCGCCATCGTATCGCCGCGCCCGGACGAGACTAGACGAGGCGAGACCTTCCTTACCGCACGCCGCGCCAAGTTGCATCATGCCAATTGGCATAAATCAATCGTTTTGGAACAAGTGACGGGCACACTCGAGTACAGCGGCGCTGCGAGGTGCGAGGAAATCCAGCCCTGCCCGGTTATAGCCGCTGCTCTCTTAATCCAGCTGACGGCGAATAGCCGAGCTGAGCCGCGAGGCGCAGCCGCGACTCTGCCGGAGTTATCTCGGCCGCCTCAAAGTTTTACTGCTTCTCGCCTCGCCGTTGCTGGGCCGGATCTGCAGCGGGATTTGACTACGGTTTATCTAGACTCGGCGCTCGGCGCGGGCGCTCCCACCGCCATTAACTTGTAATTGTCCCGGCCGGCCCACCGGCTAGCAACGCCTAACGCCTGCCGCACAAGTGTTTCCGTTTCCGTGACATGTTTTTCGCTCGTTTTCGACGGAGATGTCGCTCTGCTCCATCGCCGTGGGAAGTACAATGACGGTGGACACTTGTCTCGCGCGGTTGTTGCGCTCCCAGCGCAGAGCCGGGCGTGTTGATAATTCTGACTCTCATTTCCGCACCTCGAGACGTTGACGTGCTACTACTACAATTTTTTGCCACTCGGCGCTGCTTCTTTTTCTGCCTCCGACTCGTCCTTGCCCTTCGCCTCTGGCTGGCGGGGCGGCGGCCGAGCGGAGCCCCGGCGAGGCAGGCCGACCCGCCGGGCGGGCGTACGCCGCGGCGCTGCCTACGCTAGCGACCCGCAGGGGCCCGGGGCCCGGGGCCCACGCCGTACCTCGGGTGGGGCATCAAAGCTAGGCCCGCACCCAGTTTCAAAACGTATACCTGGTCTTAGAGCATGGCCGTACCTTTCCTGGAAAATAGCTCGTGTTCGCATTGTCGGCGTCAACCTTGCGGGGCAAGTCTACGTCGCCTGGGAGGGAGCGCCGCGACCGGACTTGTGCCCTGAACGCTTCTTATCGACTGCTTTATGACCGGCTTGTTTGTGCTCCACAGGTGACGGCCGCATCGGCGCGGCGCGCGGGGTCCTGGTGCACGCCTACTCCGCCACGGCGCCGGCGGGCTGCGCGCCGCCGCTGCTGGCGCGCCACACCAGCAGGGCCTCCTCGGCGGCGGCCCCCTCGGCGGCCTCCAACGGCACGGGCTCCAGCGCCTCGCCGCCGCCCAGCGCGCTGCCCAGCGAGCCCTGGATCGCACTCATCCCCCGGGGCCACTGCACCTTCGACATGAAGGTGCACACGGCGGCCCTCAGCGGCGCGTCGGCTGTCATCGTGTTCGACGACAAGGAGGCCGACACGCTGGACATGATGGACATCTCCCCGGACCGTGAGTAGCTCGCGAGGTGCCTCCTCGGTGCAGTTCACGGAGGGGTGCGCGCCCGTGCGCCAGATAGCGGCGGAGGGCGCGTCAGCGACTTTTGTCGATTCAAATGTCTGCGGGCGTCGTCGGGGCGTGACGCGACGCCCACGGCAACAGTTCGGTGACAGAGCATTATTCGCAGTTTTGCTCCCCATTATTGGTCCTCCGCGTCACGCCCAGGGGAGAAGAGGAAGGTGGGGTAGGGTGTGTGGAAGGGGAAGGGGGGGGGGGTCCCTCCTGGCTGGAGTGTCCTTCTGTATGCCCACCACGCCCCGCTACGCCTCGCCCTGCCACGCTACGCCTAGCGATTGATAAGGAGAATGGAGTCGCGCTCCGTGTTCGGCACGAAGACTCTGCAGGACGCCGACGTCCTTGGCACGACACTATTATCCGCCACCATCACGCCAAATCCAGCAGCCTAGCTCTTTTTATTGTTGTTTTTTTACGAACTGCTTAACTCTTTTTCCTTCAGTCCCTGGTCCCTGCAGTCCTCGGCCGGACGAAGGGCGCGGTTCGCAACAGAAAACGTGCGATCAGAAGAAAGAAAAAGAAACTCAACGAGAGCAACCATATTAATTGATTTCCTGACCGCCTCCTTTTACCAGTAGATTTCGAGAACTGATTGTGTTGGTGATCTGAAAATTTCAGGGTTGTTTATACTTACCTCTCAAAAAGAGCAAAACAGGCACAATATTATCTTGGAGATGAGCATTGATGTATAGTTAAATTGAGGTTCGGCATCTAGATTGATTCGTCCTCGACATTTGTTATGCACCCCCGTATCTGCCTGGGCTCTGACCGCGAGGCTCTCACTCCTCACACCCTGTAGAGATGCCAAACCACGCCGCCCCGCACCGAATCGAGATAAATATAACATGAATCTCGAGGGCAGCCTTTGGCGAGCCGATGAGGCTGGACCTTATTGTCCCGGCCAGGAGTTGCCATTCGCGGCGGCTGGCCCCGCCCCGCCCGACTGCCGTCGGAATGTCAAATCTGAAATGGGACGTGGTCCTTGCGTCGTGTGCGCCGCGGTGCGCGCGTGCACATGCCGGTGTGTGCTGCAGCACGCTGAGCGCTGGTGTCGAGTATAGACAAACCTTGGCGGCGACAGGCGGCCGCGCCGCAGGCGGCAGCATGCTACTCTCGCGCGTTGAGTTGACACTCCTTTGTTTTACTTTGTTGCGGGAGAAGGGGGAAAAAAACTACATACTAAAAAAAATAACAGATGTACACGCGATGTGCAGTTCTTCTATCCGCCTTCGCGTCAGTCGTTTGGCGTCGGTGAGTTCTTCGTGTGTGCTCTCCTCCTCTCGCCCGGAAGCCTATAAGCTTTTTGACATCGTGTTTCAAATTGAGAGATGGCGTGACGTGTCGACGTGCCGAGAAGGGCGCCTTTGTGTTCTCTTTACTACATTTTACCGTCCAGTTTTATGTGTCTTTCAACCAAATATGAAAATAGAACGCGCGCCTGCGAAAAGGGTGTTGTTTACGATATGATGTTATTCTCAATTCACTCCCGCCGCGCTGGCCGCGTCCCGCGCGCGACCTGTCCTGGCCCTTCCCCTCCCTCCCCTCCCAGGGACCCCCCCGCGGGGCATTGCCCGGCGGTGCGGGGGCCCCGAGGCCCGAGGGGGCCCTGCCCGCTGGGGCGCTGGGGCTCGGCCAGCCGCGCCTCGCCCGCGGGCAGCGAGTGGGGAGCGAACGGGGTGGAGGGAGACCCGAGGGGAGACCCTCCCGCGGCGGGGCTGGCGTCAGCCACCCCCATCCTGCTGGTGCACTCCATCCTGGTGGGGTGGGGTACCGGAGGCCACTGCCGTCCTGCCGTGGACGTGGACATGACCCCGCTCGACATGACCCCCTCCCCCCTACTATTCGCTGTGTAATTCACTCTCGCTTCCTCTGCCCGGTACCGGTTACGTACCTTAGGCACGTCCCCTCCCGTCCGTACAGGTGGCCGACCTGGCCCGCTGGCCCGCTGGCCCGCTGGCCCGCTGCGCCGGGTACCAGGAAGCACGAGTGAGCACTTAAGATGTCTAGTGGCGTGCACGGCGCACTGGGCCAGCGGGCCGCCCATTGGAAGACGCGGGGATCCAACCGCCGTTGAACCGACAGCACGGCGGCTGGGATCCACAGGGTAAAGTTAGATATGTTAAGGATCTTCCAGGCAGTGCGTCCGCACGAACCTGTCGTCAAGTTCAGCTTGCGCAAGCTCCGATGGCGCCTGATGGGTAGGCAACATCTTGCCTGCAGTGCGTGCGTGTTCTGCGGGGTGGCCCACCATGAGTTTCGCAGGCGCCTTGGTCCTGATATTTTTCGAATGAATCTGGGCGAAACGAAGACGTAGGCGCTTCTATGCCACAGTCTCATACGCCTTCTCTTCGAGCGAAGGGGGGAGGAGAAAATATATAGCCGACACCTCACTGTTGTTTATGTAAAAGAACCTTACTCCTCTTTCACCGTGAAGTAAAGGTCGATTAAATAAAACTTCTTTTTGCTTTTATTGCAGACATGCACGAGTTTTGTTATTGACAAGGTCGAATAATTTGGTGTCTCACGCACAGCAGCGCGCGGCGGGGTACCCCCCGGTGACTGGCGCGAAGCTCGCGCGGAGATAATCGACCGACACTCGATCACGCCGTGTGCGAATAAGAAGACGCGGGAGCGGCTCCAGTTGGCTCCAGCCAGCCGTGGAGCGGGAAGGGGGCGGCGCTCACAGGCACACTGGAGTGACTGGAGCGCACGGCCTCAGGAGCAAAAGAGGCGACTGACGCACAGCTTTGGCGCGGGCCGCGGAGCGAACCGCGTCCAGCCGGCCGGACAACGCGGACGCCGGCCGCTCGGCTCCGGTCGATCACGGAGAATGTCAAGGGGTCCGCACCGCC